CCCGGCTCCGGCTGAAAACTACGACTACGTCGACCGGTCTCGTTAACCGTCTGGTCTAACTTGATCACACACAATGCTGAAATGCTCTCTAGATTCATCTACAAACAGCCAGTCCTTATCCTCTCATCAAGCTTCACATATTAATCCCCATGATGTGTCCTCTATCCGAGTCTCTCACACGACTTCTCACGCCGCTCTGCACATCTCCTTCCTCCATCTCCAAGCCGGGAGTGTTGCAAGGTCGATGAGAGCGCCGGACCGCTGGTGCTGCAGGTCCTAGGTGCCAATGCTCCAAGAGGACCCCAATGTTGCAAGGCTGCGCTCGCCAGCCGATGCGATGGTCAACGGAGGTTGGTGACGCTCGGAGCTCGGGATGGATGGGCTTGCAGTTGGCTGCGGTGACCGCGCAGTCTTGAATCCACATCCGTGAGTGGAGACTACTTTTTGCAACAAAGGTCTTGTTGAACCTTCAACAAGGGTCATGTTTCAATGGTGACAGACACGACCACGAGCCGGAGATGCTTTTCACAATAAATGTCATGTCGGAATTACAGCAAGGGTCTTATTGCAATGACGAAGAATGCTTCTACAACACGGTCCTGTTGCAATTGCAACAAGATTTGTTTTTTTGTGTGTGAAAAACAACAAGGCTCATTGAACAAGACTTTGTTACAATGAGGGGAAGAGAAAGCATCGGACGACACCTGGGCGATCTTTTCAAAAGATCTGCCGGCCAATGGGTAGCACGTCCCAGACGCCCCACCATGGTAGTTTTAAACCAGAGTACAACCGCCTCAATCGTATTAAATAGGTAGGATAAAGTTGCCGAGTTAATTTTTATCTTTACCTAATAATAAAGCAAATTACTTCCTCCGTTCGAAATTACTTGTCTCGGAAATGAATGTATCTAAAACTAAAATACGTCTAGATACATCCATTTATGCGACAAGTAATTCCGAACGGAGGGAGTAGGTTTCTTTCGTCCGTCATGGCATTTTTTAGAAAAGTCCCTCTATTTTTGAGAATTCAACCCGCAGTCCTGTTTTAAGTTAAAATGAATCGTTTTTTTTCATATTTTACACAAAAGTCCCCGTGTTTTTGTTGAAATTAACCCGCGGTCCGGATTTAAGTCACATCCGAACCGTTATTTTACATTTTTCGAAACCCCCCGATATTTTAGGTAATTCATCAGCGGATCATATTTAAGTCAAACAATGTTTTATTTAAATCATCCATATATTTTAAACCGTAACTCCGATTTGAACATGTTATATATGAAATTTGATTAGAAAAATATGTATAATATGAATATGAGATTATTTTCACCTGTTAAGTATTTTTAAATATTATTTTGGAATATATTAAGTCAAATAAATGATTATCTAAGTTATCCGTATGTTTTAAACCGTAACTTCGATTTTCCCATATTATATATGAAATTTTATTAGAAAAATATGTGGAATCTAAATATGATGTTAATTTTACCTGTTAAATATTTTTAAAATATTGTTTTGGGAGCAAACTTATAATTTATAGCGTAAGATCCGTTTTCCTTTCGTACCGGCGGCAACCCGGATTGCAAATAAACACCCCGCTATAACAATATAGGGAAAAGAAAACATCGATAACTACACATGCATATCTCTGAAAAATGTTGCAGGGGGAAACAACAAATTTCTCATCGCGTGACTGAGAGAGAGCGAG